AAAAAAAAAAGCATCCCTCTCCTACATCCTGCATGTGCGCTCCACACAGAAAACCGTCTTCGCATCTGGCAAGGCTGCGCTTTTGAACCCGGCACAGTCCACCACCCGCACCTCCATGTCATTTGGCACGCCAAACCAGCTGGCGCATATCACACCACATTGTTCAATGTGAAGCACACGCAATTTCGCACTCATCAATCCCTTCGCCTCCTCCTTCCCAAAACGCATGCAGCAGAGAATAAGCTCAGTAAGGGCAGCTAGCGACACGAGGTTGCCAAAAGCTGTGAAGGCTCCGCAGTCCACAAGTTTAAGCGTTTCAAGTGCTCTAAAGGTGCGTACGAGGCCCGCGGAACCCACCTTCGGGCACCGCACGAGATGCAGCGTCGTAAGTTTATTACTTGCAGCAATAGAACTGAGCAGCTCATTTGTTACAAATCCACCACCAAGGACAAGCTTGCGTAGATGCGGCAGCTGCCCCAAGGAATGGATGGATTCGAGCCTCCTGCAACCAACAAGTCTCACCTCTGTGAGGGTTGTAGCATTGGACAGTGCCGTAATGTCGGTCAGAAGCTTGCACTCCATGAGATGTACGGAAAGAAGTTTGGTAGCCTTACTGATGATGTCCTCCACTATTGCATTCGTCACATGGCCACCACCAATGGTGAGACTTCGCATCGATGGAACTTCTCCAAAAGACACCCCCTCGGGTAAGGCATCCGTTAGAAAGACCTCAAGCGTGGGGAGACTTGTCAGCACCTCGACGGTTGCCCGAGAAAGTTCTCCACAACAGCGCAGATCCACCTCAACAAGGGGACTTTTTCCCAGCTCAATTATACATTCATCGTTCACGGCGGTGGATCTCAGTAGTAGCGTTCGCAGCTCAGGCAACGACGGAAATGGGCCCTGTGCCTTCGCACGGGTGCACTCGCACAGGCTGAGTTCCTCCAGGGACGCAATAAAGGTGAGCGGTGTGAAGTCAGTGATGAAGACACAGTTATCAAGGTGCAACACCTTCAGGAAGCGGTTTTGGCCGAGCTGCTGTATAGTCTCATCAGTCACAGCACTGCGTCGCAGAGACAGCTCACGCAGCATAGATGACTCGGCAAGGCGGCCCAACGTCGTCAGGTTGTTGCACCCAGATAAGTTTAACTTCTTCAGTCTCGTGTTTTCGGCCAAAGGACCAACGTCAGTGATCGCTGGACAGTTCTCAATAACCAAATCCTCGAGAAAAGCGTTCATACTGAGCTGCAGAATGGCTTCAGCACTCACATTGGCACCGGCGTTGTTCAGGTGCAGTTTTACCAGGTGCTGCAGGCTGAAGATATTGCCAAAATTCTTCAAATTGGTGCATCCGGAAAGGTTCAGCTCATGCAGCATAACACACCGTCCCAGCGGGCTCACGTCTGTGAGGGCGATGGAGCCTTTCAGACTGAGCACACCAAGATCAGGTATGGCTGAGATCGACTGAATGTCCACGTCAGACACCTTCACACCATCCAGCTGGAGCGTGTGAAGGTGTCTGAGCTTCTCAACGAGATGCAGGTTCTTCACCGAATTGTGTCTCTTAATGCTCAGCCGATGCAGCTGATCCACTTTCAAGAGCCAATCAAAGTCGAAGGTGCCGCAGCAGTTCACCAGGACGATCTCCTCCAGCTTGGGCAGAGAGAGCACGAGCCTCTGCGTCGCGCAGTTCTGGCCCAGCAGAACAAGCTGAGCAATTCTGGGGCCATCCGCATCCTCGATCAGACCGCTGCTTTCCACGTTTAGCACATTACCAAATGTATCATTCTGCCTCGATGCGGCCTCACGTCCTTGCGACAGCTCGTCGTGGAGGGCTCTGATCTCGCTCACCAACTCCTCCCGCCTCATCGCCAATGCATTCAACTCCGCCTCGAGTGATGCATCTCCACCCGCAGCTGCACCAGGACCTGTTTCCGTTCTCATCGCCCTGCCGGATTGGCGTCGCGCCGCCTTCATTCTTCAGACAAAGATACGGAAAATAACAGCAATCCCACCTGTGGCTAGGGTTGAGGAGAGAGACACAGAGACAGACAGACAGACAGAGAGAAAGAGAGAGAGCACAGGAAGAGTGCGTGACGTGTGAGAATGAGACAGCTGGGAGCGAAGACACACACACACACACACACACAGACAGACACATGCGTACATACAAAGCCAATCACACACAGAGAGACACACACACACACGCGCAAATACAAATACACATGCACATACACACGCGCAGAGAGGCGCACATGTTAAGACTGCAAAGGAGAATGAACCCCAAAAGACACCCTTTCCACATATATCGCTTATACACCTTTTCTTTTCTTGGGTTGTTTCCATTTTTTTTTTTTTCGTGCCCCTTCAGCCCCCCTTTTTCGCATGTCTGGCCATTGCGAAGCAGTAACCACAACGACCACAATGTAAACCCGGTCAGTTAAGACTCAAGCCAAAAGGCGCTTGGCGAAGGATGACAAACAAGGATGCAACGACAACGACAACAACAACAAAAAAAAGAATCAAGTTGATGCGTAAATCCGTTACACAGTGCCCTATTAACATATCTTTGCACCCACCATCCCCCTTTCATCCTCGTCGCGCCGCACAAACACAGGCCGCGGCTGTGAGAGCCGATCGACCGATGTCTTCTGCGCCGCCACCGCCGCTGCACCGCAAGGCACTTCGCGTATGAGCACATACGGTCGCTGCTGCTCATCCAGCCGCACTTCCTCCACGACAACAACAGGCGCCGCGCCACCGTTTCTATCCCCGCAACCAGAGGATGCTGGCTTGATGATGCGGCGACGCGCTGCGGGGGAGTTTGCCAACAAATCGCGGCGCTCCGGCCCCACTGCCCACGCGGATGGCCGCTCCGGATCCTTCACGGCGAAGGATGAGTACACTTTCAGCGGCGGGAATGGTGGAACCTCGACGACACGCCGCATGGGAGAGCGATTTGCCACATCATCCACGCTCTCCGCCTTACGCCATGGCGTTGAAGGTGATGATCTCGGGTGCTGACGTTGACGAGAGGGTGACCCCATCCATGTTGCTGCTGCTGCTGCAGCGTTGTTGCTGTTTACGTGTTTGGTGGCCACAGCGTAGTTCACGCCGCATCGCACGCGGCTCTTTGGCACGCCAAACAGTTCTTGCGATACCGGTTGAGTTTCTATGCGCGGTTTGAAGTCTGTACGCAGATCCACAACGGGGATGGGAATGGGGGCGTGGCCGATGTGATCGCACGTCGCCGCAACCGCGCTACTTGCATGCCGTGCACCGTGCACAGCCACCATAACGTCGTCCACCCACAAGGCTGTGGGGGACGCGGCAGTATTCAGCACTGTAGTGTGGGTGTGTCCATCAGCAACAGCACTCTCGCTGCAGGAGCGTCGGACAATTTGCGCAGTCGGACTCTTATCCACGAGGTAGGGCGAAGTGGTTCTAGCTGGCGCCTCCTCGTTGCGCTTCCATTGCTGCTGTGGTGGTGGTACCGATGAGTGGCGTCTTCGGTTCGGTTGCTGATGACGCTGTGCTGACTCACCATTCCCACCAGAAGGGGAATAAGCCAGTTGTGCACCAGCTGATGTTGGTTTGCAGTGTCGTCTAGTTGGAGTTAATCTATCCCCGTTGGAGACAGTGGAAGGTCTAACAACAGGCGATTTTTTGTCATTGCCACGGCCGCCATTCCGGGCCATATTATGGTTGTTACCGTGACGGTCTCCGTTGGGCGCCATGTCCTTGCACGGCTGCAAGAACGACACTACTTCATAGGGGTGAACAATCGAGGCGTCAGGCTCGGGCTGCTGCTGCTGCTGCTGCTGCCTCCACCGTGGTGATGGATATGGTGAGCCACAAAGATGACGCAACGCCAAGTTCGACAGAGGTGAGGAGTGACGTGAAGCGTGGTGTGAGGCCGTAGTAAAAGGCTCATTCAAGTCAAGGTCACCGACATATCGGCTTCGTTCTACAGAGCGGTAATTGCCACCTCCGAGGTCAATATAGCCAAGCGGCCGTCGCAGCGGTGATGCAGGAGGCGCTGGACCGGGGTGGAGAGAGGTGTGCCGCCACGGTCGGGGAGAGCGCTCCCGATCCTGCAGCTTGCGTACATCTCCTCTATCGTGGGAATGAGGCGAAGGGCGCGGTGGCGGCGACACATCACGCTTCCGCCAACGCGAGAAACGATCTAGTTGCATCTGGCGTTGATGCCGTTTAAGCTCTTGGTACAGCTGATACACATCTTTTGTGTGGAAAATAAAGGAATTAGATGAGTGCAAGGTAGAGTGGCGCGGCCCCCGACGTTTACGTGCCTTATCGCCCAACTTGCTGCTACTGCTACTACCGCTGCTGCTGCTGCTGCCAGTGCCACTTCTACTGTCTCTACTTCCGCGGTGCTCATCGTGCTGCCAATCAGGCAATCGGAGCGGACTGACGGCACCAGAACCGCGGCGCGGCGACACACCACCATTGGTGACTTTGTTGTCCCTCTCAGGCGTAAGCCCCATCTTGCTCTTGCTCTTCACCGGGGGCCTCTCAGGGGAACCGCGCAGAGAGGACTTGCGCCGGGGCGATGTCTCGTGATGATGATTATGGTGATGGCGATGGCGGTGAGATCGTCGCTTCCTCAGTGCGTCGCCCCGCAATTCCGGCGAGGGAGACGGGGAAGGAACGGCGGATAGAGACGACTCTGACGTGCTCGCCGCTCGCTGGCTGTCGCCATGTCGCCGCTGCGATGTCGTCACACTCTCAGTGGAGCAGGCGGATGGAGACCGGCGTGGCGACCCCGGCGAGTGATGGCGGCGCCTATCGTGCCGCTGCTGCTGAGACTTTTTGGCGTCTCCGTGCTTCTTCGTGAGATGTAACGGCGGCGAATCATTCGCCACGGCCGCGGCCGCAGGAGGTGCCGTTGCCAGTCCTTTTTTTTCTACGACTGGACACTGCGTATTCGTGAGCGTCACACATGACGCGGAGCTTAAGAGCGGCGTCGACGACACCTGCCGCGGTGCTGCCTCCCCTCCTTTGCCCTTCGCTGCTTCAACGCTGTCGGCGCCACTGACCGTCGTTGCGAGGCCTGCCTGGTTCCCCCGCCTTCGCAGCGGTGTCGTTGCGTGCTGCCTGCTCGATGGGGGCACGTCTTCTCTAGTAGTGGCGGACAGTGACACTGGCAGTGCTAGCGATGGTGGCTTCTGCTTCTGCTTCTTTTGTTGTTGTACACCGGGTGACAGCACACCACGATCGGAAGTGGCGTGCAGCCGTGTGCTTGCCGTATCCGCCTCGGCCTCGTCGTCCTGCTGCGGCGTATCTACCTTCGCTGGTGGTGGCGGCGAGGCGGAAGGAGGGGACAGCGCACCAGGGGACGAAGAGGGACTGCGAGGCTTCTGCCGCTCTGGCGTGTCTTCCAGAGTGAGACTCACAGATGACAGCGATCCTGTTTCTTGCAATTTTGGTGGTTCTTGCTCTTGAATCTGTGGTCTCCCCACATCAACGATTTCACTGGAGTCCTCGTCACTATCAACGACCAGGGAGGGAAACCTCAACACGCGCTGCGTCTGCAATGATTGACGACGACTTTCTTCGCCTTCTTTGGTAACCACTACTTCGGATGATGGAGCTATGCCAGCCTCTCCCACATTTTCACGCAGGCGTACCGTGGGTGACACCAGCAGACTGCCAGCCCCACTGCTAGCTGTCATTTGCCGGGTCATTGGAGCTGCTGGCGCTTTTGCTCCGATGGATGCTGCTGGTGGCGGGGCGGAGGCCCTGTTCAACTGATTGCTGTCTTGGCTAGCGTTAAAAATGGCCTCTCTTGACGGCGACGCAGAGGGTTGCTGTTGTACCCGATGCTGCAGCAGCTGCTGCTGATGATGATGCTGATGATGATGACGCAAGTGCTGTTGTTGATGCTGATGATGTTGATGTAGCTGTTGTTGTTGTTGTTGTTGATGTAGTTGGTGGCGCTGTTGTTGCTGCTGGGAAGCGTGGGCCAAGGGCGCATTCTGCTGTTGCTGTAGGAGCTGCTCTTGATTCAGTGAGCCCCTTTGAGTAGACGGTTGTGTCGTCCTGGCGCGCCCCGGCACATCTTCTACCATGGGCTGGACCATCGTTGATTCTATGCCTACCGAGCGCTGTTGCTGCTGTTGTTGTTGTGGTGGTGGTGGTGGGTTGACGCCACCCTTGGCGTATCTGGGTTTGGGAGGGGGCCGCACAATCCCCCCCCTGCCTTTGTTGCCACCAGCCCCCGTGATATCTAACGCCCCTTCCTTCACACCACTGCGGAGCCCATCGTTATTCGCGCCTACCGGTGCGGCTGCACCAGACGGGCGAGGAGTGGAGCACGCTGCGGCTTCGGCGACCTGCTGCTGTGGGAGAGGCGGGGCGCCAACTGGCCGCATGGCTCGTTGCTGGTCTGCAGGACGTGGCGACGAAACGCGAGACCCCGAAACACTAACACTGGAAAGGGTGCCGGATGCCTTTCTCCCACCATGAGCCATGCCGCCAATATCATCGGGCACATTCACAAGTCTTACGAGTGCCGCCCTCGAGGACGGCGTGGCAGAGGCGTGTGGATCAGCGCCTGGATGGCCGATGGAATTTCCCATCATCCTCGTTGCACTCACCCCCATTGTTTGCCCAGCCATTGGAGTATGGAGGCGATTCACGCCCGGACCCACAGCTACTGCATGCATATTACCACCACCACCCGCTACCCCAGCGGGAGGTGGCACCAGCACTTTCTTTCCCATCATTTGCGCTGGCGGCGACATAGGGGCATTTCCTTGCGGACGCCCAGAGGCGATACTGGTGCCGCTCGCGTTCATTTCGTTCCCAGAAGGGTGCGCACCCATCAATGACATAGATGGAGTTCTCGGCTGCTGTTGTAGACCCTGTAGGTGGCGCGGGATGTTCCCACCTGGTAACTTAATCTGAGAGGAGTACGGTATATGAAGTGCCTTTCCCTGCGCCCCGTGGGGTGCAGGTGCCACCGCAGCGGGCGGCTGTTGTTGTTGTTGTTGATGATGATGCTGCTGCATTTGTCGGAGGGAAAACCCGGCAGCACTACCGCCACCACCCCACCCTGCCCCTACTAGAGGACAACGATGTGACGACTCACTAACTAGCCGAAACAACAACGCAGAGAAGCAGTAGTTGACGCAACGTACCTATCGGAGAATTCCAATGCGCATTCTCACTCTGATGAAATAGCTTCAGTGGAGTTGTGCTCATCAAGTGCACAAATGCGAGCACTGAAAAAAAATTCAACGCATCTTTAAAAAAAAAGCAGCGACACACAGTCTCTTTTTGTCTGGTGCCCCTCTTCCTCCCCCACACACACACAGACACACAGAAACTTCCTCTCTCTCCTTGCGCATTAGCGTCTATAATTTTGTCTATGAGGGAAGCAGTCACTCTGTCACCGTCTGCGCCGGTACCCGCTGCAGAGACTGCCGCTCCGTCCTAAAGTCAGCTGCCACAGCTGCTGCTGTCGTACCCGGTGCGCTTGCACGCGGTTCCACATGATATGCTCCAGGTCCAGGCGTATCAGCACCAGGTCTTGGGGGATAGTGACCCATTGTAGTGGGAAATGAGGGGCCACGCCCTGTCAACTCCCAGTGATGTGGGTGATAGTACGCCCCTGGACCAGCGCCACTTGCTGTCGCTACTCCTGCCATCGTTGACCCAGTTGCCGTCGTTGCATTCCGTTGCGCTATCGGGAAGCTGAAGGCGGGACCATCTTGTGCTTCCAATGGGCCGGAGTGGTAATACTGCCCAGGCCCGATACCATTAAAAGTCCCCCCCTCGCCGAACCGTTCCGCGCCTGCGAATGTGAATACCGGCACGGATGGCTTCGGATCTATTGGGTGATGATACTCACCAGGCCCAGGCGCATCGTACTGCGAGCGGGGGGCAATGTCAGGCCGAGAAGCATAACCAAAACTAAATGCAGGTTGACTCGGCAACACCACTGGACCGCCGGTCAGATACGCACCAGGCCCAGGAAGATCCTCTGTTTGCTTCTCGGTTCGGTCGGCCGTGCCAATTGTGACCGCCTGTCGGCTGAGGGTTGTAGGAATGTCGTACGCTGTCGGTCCAGGAGTGGCATTTACGCGAGCAGCAAACACCGCCTCAGGGTCTACAGTTGGTGGCACACCAAAGGATGTTGCGCGTGCCGTTTCCACGGGTCTAGGACAGTATGCTCCAGGTCCAGGGTAATCGGCCGCTGTGCGTTCATCACCGTAAGTCGGTCTCCCCTGCAGTGTGAATGCAGGACCTGCCAGGAACCGTGCTGCGTATCGATCCGCATCGTAGCTGCCTGGACCAGGCATGTCCTGTTGCGCGGCATCGCCAAGTTGCGCCCGTGTGCTGGTGCCAAAAGAGTAACCTGTGGCCGCGGATTGATGCCACACGGAGGGGATACTATACTCGCCCGGACCAGGGTGGCCTACCCCGTTGGGCAACTCCGCAACCACAAAACGCGAAGCTTGAGGAAAAGACGCCGCGGGTGCCATACCACGAGTATCCACGGGATTGTATGACGCTGGGCCTGGTGCATCGGGTGCCGTGGCCTCACCACCCTCGGTAAAGCGCGCGGACGTGAAACGCATCGCCACACCACCATCCACGGTGTTGGTGGTAATGGGGTTCCCACCACCCACCTCGTAGTGTCCGGGTCCTGGCATTTCTGCACTACCCGCGGCAAACCCCACCTCTGCTAGGCGCGGTGCACGGCCAATGATAGGGCCTGCTGCCGACTCGGGTGACTGGGGATTGTAGAATCCTGGACCTGGCGCCTCCTGTTGTGCGGAAGCAGGAACCTGAAAGCGTACTTCCTTGAGAAATGAAACAGCTGCTCCTGCACCGTCTGTCGCAGGAAACGCTGGTGGTATCATATACGCCCCAGGACCAGGTAGTTGGGACTTCTCCACTTCTACCAGTGTCGGCCCTCGTGGTGCAGTGCGATGCATGGAAAACGCTGGCCCCTCATTCGTCTTTCTAGCTACATCGTAGGTACCAGGTCCGGGTGTGTCTTCATTGTCGTTGCCCTCATACACTATACCTCTCTCGGCTGTGCCAAAGCGAATGGAAGGACCCTCCAGGGGTAGTGCTGGGCTATAGTACCCTGGACCAGGATGTGTGGTACTGCTGCTGGGATCGCCAGTAGTTGCTACCATACGACGCGGTTCAGTGCCAAAAACGGGGGCGGCGGGTGAAGGCGATAGCTGTTTTGGGTTGTATGTACCTGGGCCAGGCAACTCATCGTCCTTGCTAGGAGGATCCCTTCCACCCGTTGGAAAAAAGTGCACCTGCGAGGCAACCCATTGAGGGTGGTGGGGTGTGTATTGGCCAGGCCCAGGGAGTAGGCTGTTGTCATTCGCCATGAAAAAACGCGGACCAGTCGGGAAAGATGGTGCATCCACACGACGCCATGCGCCAACTTCGGTGTTGTTACCGTCATACTGTCCAGGCCCAGGTGTTTCGCTTATAGCAGCGTGCAACTCTCGAGGTGCGGTGGGGAATCGATAAGCAGGTCCGAGGGCAACTGTTGCCTCTGTTGTGTCATATGCGCCAGGTCCGGGAAGCTCTGCCAGAACCAGAGGTCCCATTGAACGAGCCTCAGTCCCAAATCGAGTTGTGGGCGCAGTGAAGGTAGGAACAATGACATCATACGTTCCTGGCCCAGGCACGTCGCCATTGTGGTCGCCGCCGCTGTCGCCGTTGAGCATCATGCGAGGACCAGTTCCAAACGGATATGCAGGGGCACTTGCCACCGTCAGATTGCTAAACGGCTGGTACTGTCCAGGACCTGGTAGTAGTGCCCGTTTCCGATCCTCATGGCCGAGGACACGCGGTCCTGTACCGATAACAGCTCCTCCTCCGCCGCCACCACCTATCGTGCGTTCACCTTGCTTTTCCACTGCATAGGCGCCAGGTCCTGGTGTACCGCTGCTGCCATTGTTCCCGTCAGTGGCTATTCCCCCCGCGTTGTTGAACCGTGGGGCACTCGGGAAGGTGACAGGCCCAGCGGGTAATCCAGTGGCTGCAGCTACATCTGTTCGTGCATACGCGCCTGGGCCTGGCGCTTCATAGTCTTCAAGCTGGAGTGGCATGCGTGAGGCTGTGCCGAACACGACAGATCGTGGCTGGGGGACATGGGGGCCTGCAGGAGTGTACTGCCCTGGACCAGGAGTCAAGTCTATACGTTTCTCCTCCGGTCGCCCCACCCCCGCGCTTCCAACTGTGGCGTGAAACACATGAGAGGATGGATAAGCAACATCGTATGTGCCTGGGCCAATATTAACCCTCATGAGAGTTTCTCGTTCTTCCGGTAAAGGCAAGTGCCGCGGGGAAGATCCCAACACCACAGCCGGAGAGACTCGTTCTTGCAGGTTTTGTGGGAGATAGGACCCAGGACCAGGAAGTGTTGCGGCGTCTGTTGGAAGAAGCCAGTCGGACCTATCACCTGCCGTTCCAAAAAACACGTCTCGAGTCGGAGAATGTGATGAAATCTCGTACGCACCAGGACCAGGCGCCTCACTTCGCCCATCTTCCGCAAACCGAGGACCGATGCTCCACGCAGCCCCTGCCACGTTGCCCGTGGCCAACTGTGGGTCGTAGCTACCAGGCCCAAGACCATTTCCGCTGTTACAACCACCTGTAGCATCTTCGGGGTGTATAAGACGGGGGCTTGTACCGAACACCGCAGCCGGTGACCCACTCAAATGGGCCACATCCGTGTAGGCGCCAGGCCCAGGGATCTCACCACGCGCTTTTTCCTTGTCACTGGGCTGGAACCGCACCGCGCTGCCCATCACTGCGCTAGGGCCGACGGGCGAATCGTATGGGTCGTACAGCCCGGGACCAGGCATCAGCTTTTCCGGTGTGGTGGTATCCACCGGTCGGTGCCGTATTGAGAAGGATGGCCCATCCCTTGGTACCGCAATGTCATACGCGCCTGGACCAGCATCCGTTGCAGCAGCATGCGCATCAAAAAGCAATGGGCGGGGCGCACTACCCACAACAGCGCTACGCCGGTTTGCCAATGTGAGTTGAGCGTCCATATCGTAGTAGCCTGGACCAAGCGCCGGGCCGGTGGACGCGCCAAGGTCATCCTTGTCGAACCGTGGTGCCGTGACCCCAAGCAGTGGCGCCGCCACGCGTCGCTCCTGACCGGTGTACTGTACGACATAGGAACCTGGCCCTGGCACCCTTTCACTCGAGCCCTCGAACAGGAGCGTGCGCTGTGCTGTTCCCATCACAACCGTTCGCGTCAAGTCGGCTGGGTTATTTGTGTCGTATGCGCCCGGACCTGGAATAAGCGCTGCCTGATCCGCCGCCTCATGCAACAGGCGCGGCGCGGTGGTAAACAGAGGCGCAGTGGAGTGCGCTCGCCGCAGATCGTAGATAGGGACAGAATAATCACCCGGACCTGGCGTTGGCTCTTGCTTGGGTGGCGATGACCACCGCGAGGACATTGTCCACTGCTGTCCACTCATCTCCTTTGGCAACACGTAATGCCCGGGGCCTGGCGTCGGCTCAACGCGTTCAATAGGCCGCAGACGCAGCGAGTAGGCAGGCCCTTTCTTCTCCTCTGTGAGCGTGTAGGTCCCTGGACCTGGCACGTCATCCGGCTGGAATGGCACACCACGCCACATATTGTCACCGCGACTTGCGGTTGTAATGATTGCCCCTCTTTTTCCACCCGCAGCCGCACTGCTATCGGGCATTGCGGTAGAAATATCGTATGTGCCAGGTCCCGGCACCTCGTCTGCATTCTCTGCGGGAGTGAAGAGCGCCTTGGCACACTCTGGCAGCTTGGCACGGCCGAAGGAAAATGAAGGGGCGTTTTTGTGCCGCGCGTCTGTGCGCATCGACGTTTCCGTACGGTACTCACCTGGCCCAGGCCGATCCTTATCCTCCTTCGCGGCAACCAGCTGCAACGCGCGGGGGCTTGTCGTAAGAAAGTATTTTTTCTTTGGCTGCACGTCTGTGGCCACCTTTGTCTCGGTACTGTACGTTCCAGGTCCAGGGGCGTCCGTCAGCGTGTGCAGCTGCCGCGCAGCACGTCCGATCGACACACCCCTCGCCGTACCTTTCTTTGCGGTCGCGTCAAAGGCGCTGGCCACATTGTAGGCACCAGGACCAGGTGGTGTCGCTACTCCTGTAGGTCGCCGCCCACGGGAGGGTGTTTTGTTCCGTGCTACATTGGGATCTTCCGCCACACCTCGTGGAGCGCCATTGCTGGCGTCTTCGGCGTGTGCGCCACGCTTCTCCTGTCGCTTCTTATCAGACTTGACAGCTTGATCGTTATCAGCATTGTCACGCGATGCTCCCGCGAAGATCGTTCGCCGAGGTGAAGTGCCAAAAACCGCACCTCTCTCATTCCCGCGGCGCACCCCAAGGCGTGGTGGCGACACATGGGTGTTGGAACGCGCTCGCCAACGGCTCTTTTTGCCATCACACATTGAAGCCTTGCTGCTGTTGCTTTTTCCACCACTACTATCACTTCGGCTACTCTCACTCCGCGGCGAGGCCGCGCGGATGGACTGGCAGGGACAATTCGTTGCATGCGCTGCAGGATTTGTGGGGGTCTCCAACTCCGGGAATTGCTTCCAGTAACACTGACACAGCAGCGCGAACTGACGCTTTAACGACTTGGCCTCGTCCGCGGCAGTGCGGGTGGCCGCCGTTGCGCCATGCCGACCAGAATGAGCACTCATATTACGACTACTAAGGGTGTGGCGCACGCTGTTGTCGGCAGCGCTACAGAAGTACGATCCCGGCCCAGGTATGGTGGTCTTCTTCACTGGCTCTGACATACCCTTGCGACCACTACCGAATGTTGACGGTGGTGGACGTTGCATCGCCGCGGAAACACCGCCTGTGCGATGCGACAAGGCACGCGCAGCTGATTGAAACAGTGCTTCTGGCATGGCCGCGCGCTGATCACTCCGCGCATCCGTAATATGTGTCGAATGCCGCTCCTGCTGCTGGGAACAGTGACAGTGGCAGCAACAAGCTTGAGCAGGGCTACTCGAAAAGGTGGCACGATCAGCTGTGGTGGTGCTGGCAGAGGCCTCTGCAATCCCATCGCGCCCACAGCACGGGCAGCCTGCAACAGGGGACTGTGGTGATTGATGGACATGACGCCGTTTCTGCTTTGACCCCGCAACAGCAACAGTTTTAGAGGCAAAAGCAGCCCCGTCGTGATCATTGTCCTCATCATTGTCAAGACTCACATCGACACAGGCGAGGATATGGGCGTACAATTCTTCCACTTGCGCCTGCACGTCGCCTGGGTCGATGCCGCAGTGGGGTGCCGTAGAAAGGTCCATGTATTCACCTTGTGTGGGCCTCTCGTTTGATTGCTGTCTGCCCAGGCCCTGTCGTCTATCGATAACTCCTCTTTGGTGTTGATCTATGCAACCTTCGTTTCTCCTCACTTGACCCTGCAGCGCTTTTCCCACAGGCGCTGTCTTATATATATATATATAAGTGAGGGAGAGATAAATATATAGATAGAATAGACGCTAGGTGCGAAGCAGCAGCGGCAGAAGACAACGCAAGTCCCACCATGCACCCCTTCAGGGGCGAAGCTCCACCAGGCGACCCGGCACTGGTGTGGTCTGTGTCTCTCAAGCGGAGCCCCAGCGCCCAGGCCACGGGCGCTGCCTCGCCACAGCGACAATGATTAACGACAAAAAAGACAGTGGAGCTGTTCCTCCGATTCGTATTCACCTTCCACAGTAAAAAAAAAAAGAAGGCCGCAGCCTCCACCCGNTTAACGACAAAAAAGACAGTGGAGCTGTTCCTCCGATTCGTATTCACCTTCCACAGTAAAAAAAAAAAGAAGGCCGCAGACTCCACGCGAAAAAAGGCCACCCCCCTAAAAAAATGTATGCCCCTGTTTTTAATTGTCCTCTGGCTTCATGACGCCCGCACAGAAGAAACTCCCACATCCAACCACCACCACCACCACCACCACATAGCACAACCCCTACGGAACAAAGGCATCTTTCCCATCGGCACCGCGTCGCACATCTCCCTCCAGTACATGCGCGGTGCCGATGGCCCAGCCGCTCCGCCTTCAAACCCCAGGAGGAAACAGACGATAAGGATGCAATAAAAAACGTGCACCACTTTCTCGTTCTTGTGAATACAATCAAGCCCCGGTGCTGGAGGGAGTGGACCCGTCCATGGAGGCCCGCAACCCAGACACCAAGCACGGACTCACGAAACAGCATTCGTGGCGGTCCCCCATCCAACAGACCTCCGCAAGGCGGGAAGAGGGCGATGGGAGGACGGAAACAAATAACAAAAGAAAGAACTCAACGTTCTCAGTCCTCATTCATGTGATCCATCAACAACAAAAATGATGATACATCAAGATGAAATCAATGAAACCATGAGAGAGCATGGCATTGCTCCTCATCCTACTTACGCATGCCCTCTCCAATAACTCTTGGAAACGTAATCAACGCGGAGACTAGCGCTCTGCCGATCATTTGAACCTGTGCAGACACACACACACACACACACACACACATACTCCAAAGGGAGCAATATGAGAAAATGCATTCCTCATCGGGGCATAGGGAAAAGAAAAAGGATCCATGGCTCCTGTACCCAGGGATGACTCGCAATGCGGGGTGGAGCTCCGCCCAAAAGTGCAGCCCACCCAATAGCATCAACATGATAATTGAAGCTTCCACGTTCTGTGTCTGAATAGACCCCAGTAGGGTGCAACTAACACACACGCAGCTTGCCACGAGCACCGACATTCTTCGGTCCCCTACACCCGGCAAGACTCACCTCTTCAAGCCTCTGGATAGAGAGCACATGTGGCACATCCGTTAGGTTCGTACAGCCCTCAAGGCTGACNCAAGACTCACCTCTTCAAGCCTCTGGATAGAGAGCACATGTGGCACATCCGTTAGGTTCGTACAGCCCTCAAGGCTGACCCTCTCACAAGGCTGGGATTATTGCCAAGGCCTCTCATATCATTAATAGTGACTTCCGCGTTCCGCCAATCCAGCACACACAGAAGTGGAAGGCGGCCCACACCCACGCACGCCGTCACACCACAACAGCCACTTCTCCCAATGCATTTATGCGTTCAATGTCAAGTGCGCTCCTGTCTCTTATGAACACATTGTTTATTGCCACCTTCCTCAGCATGGGCGATCTACACACGGCGTCGGCGTTGGCCGGCCGGAGACCGTCCTTCAGCTGGAACTCCTGCAGCGTCATCAAATTGGCAAACATTTGCAAATCAACACTCCAGGTGCAACCAAGGAGACGTATCCGATTCAGTTTTACAAACGGAAAAAAATGATATCCAGGTCATCCATCATGAGCATTTTTCCCCTTGAATGATTGGTGTGTGTGTGTGTGTTTGTGTGCCGCGCCCTGCTCAGCGGAGCCGTCCGAAGTGTTGCCAAGCACCCAGAGCCTCCACATGAGGCCACTATGGAGGGATCCATTGCGGCGAGGCTCTCCTGAGGAATGACTCCACAGTTGTCCATGACGCCTTGTGTGGGGGTTATATATTGCGGATTTAGCCCCCGGAGCACGTGCGACTTGGTGCAGCAAAAAAAAAAAAAAGGCAAGAAAGAGCGAAGACACTTGGCGGGGCTCGCACAGCAGATGAGAGTGGTGTATGAAATGTGCACATCAACCGTTGGATCTTGTGGCAGACCCCGTGAGAGGTGCCACACTGGGGGGAGGGGGGAAGAATGCGGTTTGAAGCAAAATGCCGGCCTCCCTCATGGGCGAGGGCGGCAATAAAAGTGACAGAGTGTCGGTGTCGGTGCGCACACCCACACACACACACACACAGACGTGGTGCCGGCGCCGCCACTACTCGGACAAATATACCACACATGCTCTACGCCCCCCCCCCCTCCNCTCTACACCAGCTTACCAACAGCGGCGCCCATTTCAAGCAGACGCCTGCGTGCGCCTCATGCCGCGAGGTGGTGGCAGCACCACAAACACACACTCACGTTGAAAAAAAAGGAACGCGAATTCGGGCTGCAATGATGGCGGGATCACAGTTCTGACACGGCAACCAACGGTGCGAACGCCACAGCGTCCGTCCACACACGCCTGCCTCGCTGCTCGAGGCTCCACACGGGTGATGAACATGATAAGTGGGCGGCACCACACCAGCTGTCGCGGCCCCGCCAGCCACGCAGGCCAGCCAACCCACCACCGCTCAGCAACTGCAGCGCCAACCACAATGCCGCGCCGCAGAGGAGGCCATGGCCAAGCCACGGTGTCTTTGTGTGTGCCTGCCACTGTATCCGCCCCCAAGCGCCTCACCGTGTGGACCTCCTCAGAGAGGGGGCTGAAAAAAAGGGCAGAAGGGGCTTAGACGCCCAGAACTGTTTCGTTAGCATACGCAAGTGCTGGCGCTCTCACCGTTGCCGCGGTCTGCCGGGATGCTGCTGCGCGACGTTCAACAATCAAAAGGCACACCCACCCTGCACACTGCATTCTGCGTTGCTGCAGACTAATGAACCCCCATACTCTTAAAACAATAAAAGAAATCCAACACAACGAGTGCGCCCCCCCCATCCCCACTCCCAAAGGGGCGTGCCGAGCCTTGTTCCTCCCTGAAGCAAGCCACGGTAGCTATTCGGAGTGGCACCCCTCAGAGGCCGAAAATTTGTGCCCCCGTTGGCGCCTCCACCTCGAAGGAGAAGGGCAGCGTCACCGACTCGCCGGGCTTCAGGTGCACCAGCAACTCCACCGTGCCGTCCACTTCCAGCTTGCGTCGCCGTTCCGTATCTTCAACCGCAAATTCCTTGGGCTCAAGGAGGCGCACGAGGAGTTCCTGCTCATCTGACTTCGGAATGCGCTCCTGCATAGTCACTGTGACGGCTTCATGCTGCTTTTTGTTTGTGACAGTTGTGGCATATGAGTACAAGATGCGCTGCTTTGGCTCCCGGTTGAACAGTGAGACCTCCTCGGTTGTGGTGTGGCGCTGCAGCAGCTTCCGCTGCACCTCAACGGTGCCATCGATGCCGAAGTGCACGTGCAACTTCTCACCAGGCGCGGTGTAATCCAGTTTCGCGTTGGCAACAAAGTCACTGTCCAACATGACAGCTGCGGTGCCCGGCAGCAGCAGGTACTCGCTTTCGTTCGTGCACGTTGCTGTGGCGAAGGCGGACTCCGCTAGCGATGGGACCGTCGTGTAGGTAACATCTGCCTTCCACTGCAGCACTGCGAGCGGCACCCGCAGCTCCTTCCCGTCGGGGCGAAACGAGTACCGCGACGGCATCGTGAAGTTCGTCACGCCCATTGCCTCCACTGCCGCAGACTTCACATGTGGCACATTCCCCGTTGTGATCTCGCAATTACGAGACATGTGGTTCGCAGAGTCGCCCGCTTCGTCGCCCACCTCAACCGACTGCGTTGCCTCAATGCGCCAAGGCTCAAGTTTCGGCACAACGGCCTTAGCCTGTGGCATGGCGGAGGAGAACGTGAGCGCCACGTCGTCGAACTCCTCGGTGCCGCACCGCACAACGGCGTTGTAGTGCAGCGTCACCAGTTGTTGCTGGCTGTCGAGCCCCACTTCGTACTCGACGCGCCACCCCGCCTGCGGCGTCATGTACGACACGTACACCACCGCCTGCGGCAGCGGCTCCGCCACCTTCAGCAAAATGCCCACCGACCTGGAGCGTTTGGGCAGAAACCTCGACCGCTCCCGCGTCCGCGTGATGG